GTTCGGGCCTTCGACGTGGACGCTTTCGAAGTGGCCCCTGAAGGGGTCACGTTTCACATTTCCCGTCGCACTAAGTCGGGTTCGACCTCGGTCTTTTACCCATTTTTTCCCGACGACCCGCAGCTTTGCGTCGTGTCCATCCTCCGCAGGTATGTTTCGGTTACCTCCTCGCTCCGGTCCTCTACGTCGGGCCAACTCTTAGTCTCCTACGTGCGCCCTCACGCCCCAGTCTCGGTCACCACCTTGGCCCGATGGATCCGCTGGATCCTTTCCCTCGCAGGTATAGACCCCGCCTTCGGCGCCCACTCCGTTCGCGGTGCGGCGGCTTCATCAGCCTTCCTGGCAGGGGCGTCCCTCTCGGATATTCTCAGAACGGCGGACTGGTCTAGGGAATCCACTTTCCGTACATTTTATTTTCGCACTCCCCCTTCTGCTGGGATGTCACTTCTTCAGCGTTAAAATTGCAAAATAGGAAGCCTCCTGTCATGTTATAAAATTGAAGATTATGCTAGCTTTAGTGTACTAATAATCTTAATTTTAATAAGGACAGGAGGCGAGTATTTTCCCTCCCTTTTGTTCCCTACCCTGACTCCTCGGGGGAGTGGATCTTAAGGTGATGGATTTTGGGATTCATATTAGTGGTTCCACTATCTTCTGGACATATTCGGTATCCCTTCCATCTCTATTCCCAGTGTTTCCACCTAGACGGACAGTTTAGTTGTACAACATGCTTACACCTACACATATTTAACCTATGGCCAGCTTACAATCTGTCTGTACTGTTTAATTTACACCATTCTGTTAAAGCCCACAGGCGTGAACAGTTACGGTTCAGTACCTAACCGATTTTATACTCTCCTTTCAGTGTAACCCTCTTCAGGACTTCCACTGGTCGCTGGTTCGTTAACCTCACGACTCCGTAAGATGGGATGACGGCTTCGTTTGGTCTCTCCTCCTATCTCGTTACCAGGAGTCTCCTTAAGTTCCGCTCGCCAGAGACCGCAGTTACCGTTTCATTGAGTTTCTGGATGTTCGAGCTCTATCTGGACTTGGATGTCGCTTTAAGAAAGAGGAAGTGTACAGGCAGCATGACCCTTATATACTATGCTGCTCAGTGATTTATTTGTTACTCTTTACGTTTTCTTTACTGCTGTGGAGTTTAGTAAAGAGAGTTAATGCAAAATACTCGCCTCCTGTCCTTATTAAAATTAAGATTATTAGTACACTAAAGCTAGCATAATCTTCAATTGTTACTGCAAATACTTAATGCACAAAAAACAACAACATACCACTGTGATTGCTAGGAGAGTCATTTGCAGGATGTGTAGTTGATGGTGATATTGTCATTTTTTCTGTTGTCTTTTCCTGATAATTTTCTGCTTTAAAAATAATAAAAAAACATAAAACTTAACAGGCATTATATATCTGTGACTAGTGGCTTCTGGCTGAATAACACATCTCTCTACAGGCTGGTAACCTAAAACTTTTTTGTGAGTATTTTTAATACCAGGATGCAGAATAACATTTGTAAAAACAAAAACCTGTATGATGGGTGGCACTGTTGCACGTGTGTTCATTTGGACTCCAAACAGATCATTGCAATACACCATTTAACACTAAGGATTGTGTTATGTGTAGATGGGTGAATTCCCCTATTACATAAACAGACTTAGAGATCAGACACATATTTTGTATTTTCTCCTACAATCCATATCAATCGGTACTAAATTTCTCTCACCACCATCCATTTGTATTCTATTCCTTTATTTTGAATATCTACCCAAGTTACAGTTCTTCTATTCCCTCTCCTGCCCTCATAAATCATTTAAATAAACGTGTACCTATCCATACTTTTTTTGGTCTCAAAGCTAAAGATACATATCAAGTGATTTCTTTGTTGCAATAACAGTGTGTATGCATTTCTTTAACCCCTTAAGGATCAAACTTCTGGAATAAAAGGGAATCATGACGTGTCACATGTCATGTGTCCTTAAGGGGTTAAAGCGGCACTTTTTTTGTTTTGTTTTTTTCAACACCCCTCCCAACTCCACTAAACTTGATTGTCCCCTTAGTCACCCCAAATAACTCTAGCTCCCCCATTTCACTTTTTTTTTTTAAACAGATTTTTGGGGGTCTGGATCTAAGGTTTTTTGTTTTGTGTTTTTTTCCTGCTTGTTGTTTTTAAATAATTATTACTAGCACCAGGCTGATAAACAACATTTAAAAAAAAAACCTGTATAACGGGTGCCAGTTTTGTGCAGATTTTATGAATCCAAACTGAATAATTAGTTTTGACCCTTGCTTTGATAAATAAATATGAAACTTAACATGCCCAGTAAAACTATTTAGTGTAATCAGGATAATAAACCCTTTAATGTGCAGAGAAGTGTGTAATCATTTGACACAATGTGGTAAATAGATGAGTTAAGACATTACCATGTGTAGAATTCTGGATAGTTAATTTGCATTTGTAGTCTTTTTCGTCATAAATGGTTACTCTGCAGAACTGGCAGGCCTGGACAAGTATGTGATGGTGGATATAGCACGGAGCCTGTGGGTTATCTTCGATGGATGCGGTTAGGCACTCTGAGCAATTCACACAAATAGGGACATTGTTTGGTTTAGAAACGGTAGCATGACTAGTATTCGTCCTAAAAGCTGTAATGTTGTATTTTAATTTACTGCAGTCATCTGAAAAGAAGAATAAAACAAATATTAGAACAAAGTATCCAGTGTCCAACTCCATCAAAAAAACTAAAAACAAGATTACACGTCTTCTGAGAGAAGAAAAAAAAACACTCCAGAATGGTATCTTTCTTGCAGTCACCCCCTTTCCACGTCAGACCCGATCTGTGTATCGGCTGAACGATCTACTCTGCTCTCCTCTCTTGCATTTTGGCGGTTTCAGTTCTACACACACTTTGTGATGGTAAGCACTTAATTTTTATGTTTATATATTATGTTTGCTATGTATGTCATATCTGCCATCCTGAAGAAGACTCCAGATGTGAGCCGAAACAATGTATATTTTTTTATTTTGTATATGAATTAAAAGTTAAATTTTACTTTACAAAGAGCCTGGTGTGCATTCCGTTTTTTTTGGATACCTATGATTTTTTGCTGGAATTGCACCAGGCATCACAGTCATTACATACTTTGAGTGCAAGCACCTTTGAGAGTATATATATATATATATATATATATATATATATATATATATATATATATATATATATATATACATACACACACACACACACACATATACACAGGGAGTGCAGAATTATTAGGCAAATGAGTATTTTGACCACATCATCCTCTTTATGCATGTTGTCTTACTCCAAGCTGTATAGGCTTGAAAGCCTACTACCAATTAAGCACATTAGGTGATGTGCATCTCTGTAATGAGAAGGGGTGTGGTCTAATGACATCAACACCCTATATCAGGTGTGCATAATTATTAGGCAACTTCCTTTCCTTTGGCAAAATGGGTCAAAAGAAGGACTTGACAGGCTCAGAAAAGTCAAAAATAGTGAGATATCTTGCAGAGGGATGCAGCACTCTTAAAATTGCAAAGCTTCTGAAGCGTGATCATCTAACAATCAAGCGTTTCATTCAAAATAGTCAACAGGGTCGCAAGAAGCGTGTGGAAAAACCAAGGCGCAAAATAACTGCCCATGAACTGAGAAAAGTCAAGCGTGCAGCTGCCACGATGCCACTTGCCACCAGTTTGGCCATATTTCAGAGCTGCAACATCACTGGAGTGCCCCAAAGCACAAGGTGTGCAATACTCAGAGACATGGCCAAGGTAAAAAAGGCTGAAAGACGACCACCACTGAACAAGACACACAAGCTGAAACGTCAAGACTGGGCCAAGAAATATCTCAAGACTGATTTTTCTAAGGTTTTATGGACTAATGAAATGAGAGTGAGTCTTGATGGGCCAGATGGATGGGCCCGTGGCTGGATTGGTAAAGGGCAGAGAGCTCCAGTCCGACTCAGATGCCAGCAAGGTGGAGGTGGAGTACTGGTTTGGGCTGGTATCATCAAAGATGAGCTTGTGGGGCCTTTCGGGTTGAGGATGGAGTCAAGCTCAACTCCCAGTCCTACTGCCAGTTCCTGGAAGACACCTTCAAGCAGTGGTACAGGAAGAAGTCTGCATCCTTCAAGAAAAACATGATTTTCATGCAGGACAATGCTCCATCACACGCGTCCAAGTACTCCACAGCGTGGCTGGCAAGAAAGGGTATAAAAGAAGAAAATCTAATGACATGGCCTCCTTGTTCCCCTGATCTGAACCCCATTGAGAACCTGTGGTCCATCATCAAATGTGAGATTTACAAGGAGGGAAAACAGTACACCTCTCTGAACAGTGTCTGGGAGGCTGTGGTTGTTGCTGCACGCAATGTTGATGGTGAACAGATCAAAACACTGACAGAATCCATGGATGGCAGGCTTTGGAGTGTCCTTGCAAAGAAAGGTGGCTATATTGGTCACTGATTTGTTTTTGTTTTGTTTTTGAATGTCAGAAATGTATATTTGTGAATGTTGAGATGTTATATTGGTTTCACTGGTAATAATAAATAATTGAAATGGGTATATATTTGTTTTTTGTTAAGTTGCCTAATAATTATGCACAGTAATAGTCACCTGCACACACAGATATCCCCCTAACATAGCTATAACTAAAAACAAACTAAAAACTACTTCCAAAAATATTCAGCTTTGATATTAATGAGTTTTTTGGGTTCATTGAGAACATGGTTGTTGTTCAATAATAAAATTCATCCTCAAAAATACAACTTGCCTAATAATTCTGCACTCCCTGTACATACATACATACACACACACACACACACACACACACACACACACATACACATACAAGTATCTTGAGGAAGACCTGAAGAGGTCGAAACGTCGATCAGATATATGTTACCTGTTATTAAATAATATTGAGTTTTTTTTTCTACAAAGACCTCAGAGTGCATCTCTTTCCTTTTTGAGATAGATAGAGATATAGATATATATATATATATATATATATATATATATATATATATATATATATATATATACATACATACATACACACACACACACACATACATACATATATATATATATATATATATATATATATATATATATATATATATATATATATATATATATATATATATACATACACACATTTTAAGAGGTAGCCCCCAAATAAAAAAAAAAAAAAAACGACAACACTTTGGGGACTCTAGAGAACCTCGGGCCAATCACACATCCCTGTGGCGGCGACTTTGCATTCGGCTGTCATCCATATCAACTTTCGATGCCAGTTTCTGCGCCTACTATGGTGATCACGGGTAACGGGGAATCAGGGTTCCATTCCATACAGGGACCCTGAGAAATGGCTACCACATGTCAGGAAGGCAGCAGGTGCGCAAATGACCCACTAACGATGTGGGAAGGTAGAGACGACAAATAGCAATACAGGACTCTTTAGAGGCCCTGTAATTGTAATGAGTCCACTTGAAATCCTTTAACTCTGATCAATTGGAGGGAAGTCTGGTGCAGAGCCACTGACCCGTGCGTGCTGCAGCTGAAACTCCACTATCGCCTGCTGCTGCTCGCAGTCTCATGAGACAGTGAGCGGGAAGGCCGAAGTTACGACCCTGCTAATCCATTCCACACTGTGACTCCTAACTTCAACATCAGGCATACTGGGTCCCGGTCGTCCGACCGGACTGCCCACCTGACTGTGAAACTACGAATGGATCGTTATATCTGGTACGAACCCAAACTTTGCAGTTCGGGTTCGCTCAACTCCATTATGGATCCTTTGATCGCTACATGTATTACTTGGATAACTGGTAATTCTCAAGCTAATACATGCCGACGAGCGCTTGGGGACGGCCGCTTCACTTTTGCACCCTGCTCCCTCTTATGCTGTGCTGGTGCCTCTGTGCGACCAGCGCCTCTTCCTCCAAACTGCACATGTCACTCGCATGACCTTGATTCCATGTGGGGTCTTAGGACCTCATCATCCTCCACATCATCTTCCACCCACTCCTCAACCCTGCCCTCCTTGCCGGTATGCACACTGCAGAAAGCCACAGCAGTTGGCACCTGTGTTTTTCCAGCATGTAAAGGACAAATTGTTTTAGAATTGTATCCAGGCAACAGTTTTCCCTATAAACTGACCTCTCAGTTTGACTTGTGAGGGTTTTGCAACAGAATTACAATATTGTTTAAGTACCTCTTAGCTATTGATAACTGGTTTAAATATAGCAGCTTGTTATCTGGTAGTTTCTAGTGTAGAAAATATAAATCTGTTTTCTATCTGTGTAACAAGTGTTGTATGTGTGAAACAATATTACAAGTGACCGATGTAGTAAATTCGAATCAAAGTTACGCTTCGATTTGACTCTTAGATATGAACTGAACACCCCAAATATACTATTTAGCACCAAAAAAAAAAAAAAAAATCAATTGACTTTTTAATACTCCAATGTAAGCAGCAGATTAGCAGCAAAACAATTAGAATGTTTACAACTGCACAGTAATCGCACAATTTGACTCTCAGATATGAAATGCATGCCCCAAAATGTACTATTTAGCAGATTAGCAGCAAAACAATTAGAATTTTTTCCACTGCGTTGTAAGCACACTATTAGAAGCTTCTATTTGACTCTCAGATATGAAAAGCAGGCCACAAAATGTACTATTTAGCAGATTAACACCCAGAAAATAAGAATTTTTACAACTGCACTGTAAGCACACTGACGCTTCGATTTGCCTCTCAGATATGAAGTGCACCCCACCTCACTAATGTACTAGTTTGCAGAATTCTTTCCTAAGCTGTCCCTATCAGCGGCAGCATCCTCTCCCTACACTAATAAGACCTCATGTGCGTGCGGCGCTACGTGACTCCAGCTTATATATAGAGGCTGGGTCACATGCTGCACTGGACAATCACAGCCATGCCATTAGTAGGCATGGCTGTGATGGCTTCTAAGGGCACACAAGTCAAACGCTTGTTGATTGGCTGCCCTGCAGCCTTTCAAAACACTCCATTAAATCGCCGAACACCAAACTCCAACCCGAACATACAGTGATGTGTCCGTGTTTGGGGTCCAAAAAACCTAATGTTCGATATCTCATTTTCAGCCTCTAGCTCAGTATAAGGGGGATGGAGATGGGGGGGGGGAGGTGCAAGCTCAGAACAGAGAAGTTATGCAATGTTGGTCATTCACAAAAAGTACAAATGACTCATGATAATATTAAATGTATGCTTACTAATGCAAGGAGCCTAAATAACAAAATGGGGAAACTAGAGGCAATAGCAAATAACTAAACAATATGACATAATAGGCATAACTGAAACATGGTGGGATGAGTCACATGACTGGGCTGCTAACAAATCGATATACACTATTAAGGAAGAACAGGAAAAAACAGGCAAGGTGGTGGGGTATGTTTGTATGTCAACCATGGGTTAAAGCCAAATCTTTTTTTTTTTTTTTTTTTTGAAGTGCATTGATATATAACAAGCGGGCTCGTCATGCCCCAACATCATTGACAAGTATTAGGTAAAGCATTTGTTAACAGTCGGTCAGCATGTGAGAAAACAGCACTTTCTTTAGCAACATATCTCGTTGAATATTCCTGTGTAAACAATCTATGCTTAACATGCTTATTGGCAGGGACTTTCGAGACATGCAGTTTAAAAGATTGCATGCTATTAGAGCGGGGGTGCTTGCTACAGCGATTATAGGCTAGGCAGTATGAGATGCCTCTCTATGTGTATGGCACATTCAGAGATAAGAAAATAAAAGAAAATACAAGAAAATTAAACTTTTGCTAGTATCTACTGTGCATATACCACTGGGACTCCCACCCAACATTTCTAGCAGAAAAACATGTAAGTCAAGTAGGCAGTTCAGTTGGTGTCAGGGCTCATGCTAAAAAGAACTGGTCAAACATTTGATAGCAGGCGGTTGGCATCTGGTGAGCGTGTTGTCTCTCGTACAGGTGTTCTTCACCCTTCTCCCTGTCTGGGCATTGCTCGCTCTGAAAGACCCGGCCACCGGAGCCCGCAGCGGCAGTTTGAGGCCTATCAACGCTTGGGAGGGGGAGGTACGGCCGACTTCCTCACTCCACTCACCCTGCACAGCAAGACTCCTACTCTTTCCCCAGACCGGCGGGGGTTATCCTGGTCCCCACTGGACTGACCTGTCTAATCGGGTCTTTCAGAGGGAGCTCCGTTGCATCTCCTGAGTGAGGTACTTCGTAGCTTCCAGCCCTTGGCAGGGTTTGTATAGACTGTAGTTGGGTATCGGTCAGAGGTGGGGGCACTTTGGGGGCGAGGTGGATACCCCATCCAGACCCAGGCTTGCTTTGGAGCCCACATCTCCGATCCATGGACCCGGTTGCCCTGCATGGCCAAGTCCCTCCCGGTTTGTGAACGGCGGGGTTCTCTGATGGTGTGCCTCCGCCCGCGGCGGGGAGTCCTCCGCCGATGTGGGCGATGTTTCAGGGTCAAGCTCTTGGTGGCTCTCAGCCCGGGTAGGCCAGTAGTAGGAGAAACGAGCTTGTGAGTTACAGTTAGGCCCAAGGGGGTTCTCTGCGCCTTCCCGCCCTCACCCCTCCGAGCGTCCATCTGTATTTGGGGTGGCAACGGAGCTCTAGGTTTCTCCAGAGCATCCCAGAAGTGCTGGAAATGCTCATCAAGTCTCTGTAGGAGTCGGTCCACGGAGCTATGAGGGGATGTGTTAGGCTGCTGTTCAATGTGGTTCGGCTGATCGCCCTGGGACCGCTTTTGGCCTTGTACTTTAGAAACATTGGTATCCGCCATCTTGTGGTGTGTGGTTGCCGCAGAACAGGCGGTAGGCGCCTGGAGCGATTAGACAGGTCAGTCCAGTGGGGACCAGGATAACCCCCGCCGGTCTGGGGGGAAAGAGTAGGAGTCTTGCTGTGCAGGGTGAGTGGAGTGAGGAAGTCGGCCGTACCTCCCCCTCCCAAGCGTTGATAGGCCTCAAACTGCCGCTGCGGGCTCCGGTGGCCGGGGGTCCCGAGAGAGGTCTCAAACGATTCAGTGGGTTGCCCCCTTAGTAGGTACCAGCTCAGCTCGAAGCTCCCAGCTCAGCAGCCCGAGATATTATTGGGGATTTATCAACTGTTGCAGGAGCTCATACACAGCACTTCTGTTTAGTTCAGGAGTCAGACTCCGCCCCCTAAAGCCAAATCTTAACCCCTTAAGGACCAAACTTCTGGAATAAAAGAGAATCATGACATGTGTCCTTAAGGGGTTAAAGGGACACTATAATCACCCAGACCACTTCAGCTCAATGAAGTGGTCTGGGTGCCAGGTCCCTCAGGGCTTAAGCCTTCAGATGCAAGCATAGTTTCAGTTGGCGTACTAACCCCATAAACATCGCCACAAGCAAGTTCACCAATAAAAAAAAAAAAAATAAAAAAAAAATTATAATTGACATTTCTACTCCTCATTCCACAAACATTCCCAGTATTAACTTGCTTATCCCTTTACAGAAACTCTCTCTCCATTAAGCATCAGTCGATAATGCAATTCAGGCTAAGAAAGACTGATTTAAACACCTTCAAGTTGCTGTAATCAATCAGGATCACCAGAGATTACTCAGATTTATCCCTTCAATAATAAATGGTGTCCTATCATGACACTGGATAACTACGGCCAAACATTACAAACACACGTAGCCAATGCACCACTTTTGTTACTACACAATAATCCCCTCACCACAGCTGAGGTCATGTATTACGTTAGAATCCTATTTATTAAATTCTCCCTAGACCCTTGCTCATTCACAGGACATTCATTCAGAATTGGCGCCGCATCAGTGGCCTCTAGTAGGACTGTTCTAGTTCATGAAAAAAAAAAACAAAAAAAAAAAAACAGCATTTACGTATTTGGTTTTGTAAGGTCTATAATAATGTGTGTAATTTTGGAAACATTTGCCTTCTTTATTTACAGATCTACCCATATGTTGGTTTCGGCACACTACAGCCAACTTTGCTATATCACAGCCATTGTCCCCGACCACAGAGATAGATACACACACATATTATATATATATACACATATACATATACACACACACACACATACACATACACACACACACAGAGATAAATTTACTCATACTTACCGTAATTTTCTTTTCCTGGTCATAGGCCATGGCAGCACAACAATGGGTAGCTCCTCCCCTATCCCTAGTTAGACAGGAACTAATTAAAATAAGGGTACAAATACCCCCTCCTACCTCCTCCTCCCTCAGTCTAGTTAACAGCAATATCCCTGGGTGGGACCTTTGTGCTGCCATGGCCTATGACCAGGAAAAGAAAATTACGGTAAGTATGAGTAAATTTATCTCTTTCCTGGCCATATCCATGGCAGCACAACAATGGGTAATACCCAAGCTAAAACCAAGGGAGGGAAAGAAAAACTCAGACACATTATTATATAATGCAAGTGTATTATCACAAACAACTCAATGTGATGAACAAAAAGAATAGTAGTTAATCCTTTGAGGCAGAAAGAACTGATCTGCCAAATCCATCGTATTGGCCAGCTCTTA